ATATCTTTGCCATTGCTTTCCATTATGGCTGGTATCAGTCCCCTTGATCCCCATTAACCACTAAGGCTGAAGAGTAAGGCACAATGGGTTGCTTTAAATCTAAAATAAGTCATAATCCCAACACATATTTATGCATACATATGTGTGAATATACTTAACTATCATTTCGTCTTGTTTTATCTATAATTATATGGACAGGTTGTAGTGGAAATTGAAAATAGAGATTCTATTGATTTAACACATACCATGGAGGGCGTAACTCATCTGACCAAAAAACGTAAAAAGGTATGTACATTCCTTAACCAATATCTTTTTCATATACATATGTAGCCATTATACTATTGGCTTAAATGCTAATAATATGTATATATATTTTTTCAAATTAAATAAGGATTGCCCCAGTCCTATAGCACTGGAGCCCTGCAGTGGCAATCGAGCTGCTGTGTTATCACTTTTAGTTCGTTTACCAACAGGTGTGTAATTTTATATACACATTTCATTTGTTCATTTTTAATTGTTTAATGTTTATTATTAATCCCATAACTGAAGGTGGCTTGCAGCATGCGCCTGCCGGACAGTCGGCTGGTTTGGCCGTAGCCAGTGCGCTCGTAACATTGGGCAATCCACGGCGACCATCTATCGAACACTCAAAAGAGCCAAAATCTAAACGAAAACAAAGTCAGCATCCTGATAGTTGTACATAATGATTGTGAAGAGTATTCAGTGTAACATTAATTAACAGCGAAGTTTATAAAAGTATTTCCTTTATAAGTACATACATACGGAAACAAGTACTTGGATATATGTTTACACTCTGCATTTGAAAATCTAAATCAATCGATCATAACCATACATACATATGTATGTGGTATGTTAGCGCGGCGGAGTAACATTAGAAATGCCTTTATACAACTTACATAATTATAATGTTATTAAAATTACTCGGTACTAAGGCATAGTTACTGATTTGCTTCACATAATAATTACACTTACCTTTTAGTAATAGTAATTGTAAAATATTAGTGCATAAAATTATTTATTGTAGTTACAATTTTAATTGCTTAAATCTATAAAAACAATTTATGTCAGCCTAAAAAGACATTAATATTATTAAAAAAAAATTTTAAACGAGGGACATTATTTAATCATTAATATATGTGTGCATACAGCAAAAAACCAATTTAAGTTTGGCGCAATTGTTTGCTAGATATAGTTCGCTGTATGCAAAGTCATGTTTATAAACCTATTTTTGTATGTTTTCATTATTATTATTTTTATTTTCGAGGTGCGCTATCAGCTGTAAAAATTAACAAAACTAAGTAAAATATCTAATGTGAATAATATGAACTATGCTGTAGTGTTTTATTATCTGTGTTAAAGACGATTTAAAAATTGACCAAATACATACGATAGAAAATGGTCATATACTTACATACATACACAAACAACACTTATTTAAATGTTTATTTAGTTATTTTTAGCATAGTTCGTGAATAAAACTTTTAAACCAGATATGAGGTAATGTTCTGTTAGCATATAAGAGATACAAATCTATGAATACACAACACATTTTCGAAAAATATAAAAAACACCAACGAAGTTTATTAAAAAGCTTTAATCCAGTTTAAGAATTGAAATTAAATTGTCTACATAAAATGCAGCATCCACATGCTCATTGAAATTTTTGCTAAGATACTCATAATTGAAGGTTGTTGTTGTTGTAACAGCATACAAATTCCCCAAAGAGGTTCTGGCGAATGATACAGGAGTGACAATCCTTGGCCATATATGTATGTATGAATCTGTGCCGTTCCGGTTACGTATACCCGACTGCCGTGGGAACGCTAGTATATGGTTGGAAGGTGCAATCGCCATCTCTTTCAAGGTATGTGAGGACGCACACAATAGTTTCAAATGTATTTTTGCGGTTATAATTTGGTGAGTTGTTGCGATCGTACTGGCAATGGTAGGTAAAGCAGGTTTTTACATATTTTGAAAAGCTCGTTTTGGCTCGTATTCAGAATACATACATGCAAATATAGCGCACATGATCGAGAGGGTTTTAGTGTATTTGAAGCTTAGATTAACTGTGCTTTCAGCAGCTACTCAAAAATTACTTCAAATTCAAATTGTCTATTATCACAGCGTCAGCATCGCTACTACAAGGAGAAAATGTGGCTGGGACAACCTTTCCATACAAATTCAAGTAAAAAGGATCATTGCACAATTGGTGGCTTCAATGACAAATATTATGGAGATAGCGAAGACTCCGAATCAGGGCAAAGGAGTGGAGCGGGGCAAAGGAGAAAGGAGCTAAGGAGGAAAGGATTTTAGCTGGAGTGGAACTAGAGCAAAGAGCTAAAAAAAACCATTAGCTTTTTTATTTTTTTTATTTTTAAATTTTCATTATATTTATTTTACTTTACAATATTGTTCATTGCACATACACGAGCAGTCAAGGATAATTGCCGCGTGAATTTAAACGGTCATAAAAAACCATCACTTAGTATCTGTAATTTTATTTACAGGACAAAGTACATTAGGATCATATAAATAACTGTACATACATATCGTCGTTTAAAATACAAAACCGCGTATCGTCATTCTGCAAGACCGCGTAACTGACATTGGCTGCCAAAAATTGGATTTGCTCACACAAGCTCTTGGCTCAATCCTTATCCATTCGTCGTTGAAATATACTAGCCAGAAGTGCGACTTCTTTATAAAAAAAGAGAACCATTTTGAAGTATGGGTGTTTTTACACTCTAGTAAATGATTTCTAAAACTTCACATACGCGGTTCTGCATTTTGCTGATACGCTGCTTTACGATATGTATGTTCACCCATAAAAGTATATACATAATACATTTCGTCGCTGCGCCAACAAAAATAGTGATGTGTGATTTTTGTGAATTTTTTTTTATGGGATATTTTATTAACACTATCTATTGCCCACATTACTGCATTTGCCGTTCTCTTATATATCTTTTGGTTTAGAACTGGCCAAAACCAGCTATGTGCCCGCAGTACTAGAAATACTCTGAAAGAAACGGGTATACGATTATTTGCTTATAGCTGTTTTTGATCGCAGGCGAATCTGATGTGCGCTTTGATTTCAATGTAAAAAATAATTATAATCCAACTAAATACATACATACATATGCATACTCTAGGAATGTTAATCCCGGGATCCCAGGATGCCGGCCTTTTTTAGGTGCGAAAAATCCCGGGATTCTCGGGATTTGCAATTTGCACTGATGGCAAGAATAGAAACCTCATTTCTTTATTTAATAATAATTATTTTTTTATAAATGTCTAGCTCATTATACATAATAAATTTTACACACAAAAATTAATATATTCGCTAAAACATGGGCAAAATATAGTAAAATTGCTTTTTTAGTTTTTCACTTTGACGTCAGTAATCCAAAAATGATTTAAAAAATTCAGTGAAATGTTAATGTTGCTTAGAGTAGAAGTATAGGTAATGAGGAAATTCTGTAGAATTTATTCAGATTCCATTTTTTGGTACATAAGTACTAGTAGGTATTGAAAATGTCCTTTTAAAATTTTATCCTTGAAATTTCGCAATATTTGTTTTTGAAAAAATTATATGTTAAGGACTTATATAAACTCGATAACATCCTCGAATTTCATCCTTCTAACTTTATCAGGTTAAAAAAATTTTCTATCCCGGGATCGCAAAAAAGCGGAAATATTAACATCCCTAGTATGCACATACCACTTACATTATATAAATAGATTCTACTATTTAATTTGATCGCTTGCAAATGAAATTCGACAACAAACAAAAGTAAAAAGTGCATTGGGTCAAGTTAATACGCTGACCAAAAAAAACAGTTCGCATCTCTGGCAATATCATGGTTTTTACAAAATATGTATCCACTCACCACTTTGCATTAATTTTTATTACAGAATTCCAATAAAAATGCTTCTGACCATTTTTCATTACATAACAGGAGCAAAGGGCAGTTGACTAATCGAGTCCTCAACTTCTATACATTAGTTGCGTTCCAGATGCTTCACGATATTCACGATTTGCAGGAACAGCTGTTTTCTCTCCATTAATATACCATATGGAAGGTGGTCACCTGGAACGACTTCCTGTAAAAACACCTTCAAATCGTGAAGCATTTGAAACGCAACTATTGCATCTAGGCCTAACGGCAGTATTATGTACAAATTGCATACGATCCCATAGCGCCAAAAGCAAATTTAAATCGTGTATAAAAACAGCTATGTACTTTAAAGCGGCGCAAATGTTGATCACGTCGTAAATGGTAAAAAAAATTATTATTTTTTTCATAAATCAATTACACATTTTTAATATAATTTTTTTAATACATTGCAAATTCTTGGCACCAGGAATCAGTTTTTTGCTCTCTTGAAAAGTCATTAAAAAACGCATAACTCTTTTTGTTGAGCCCTAACCGCCAAAACAGGTAAGCGGCATTTTTTTCAACTTTCTTTCGGTTAGGGTTCGATATGTAAATAAATAAATGGAGGGTGTTTGTTGGGAGCTGGAGCGGAGCTAAGAGCGGAGTTTGGAGGTAAATAAAATACCGGAGCGCGGCTAGATCGGAGCGATGAAAAAAACCCTTCGCCCCGAAGCCCTGCTTCTAATCACCAATCGATTAAGACGGAGTCGATTTTTCGTTCCCTGATCTTCATACAACACCTGCCAAAGCCCTAGGTGAATTCTCTACAATACGTTTCACTTGTACATTAAGGGACACACCTGCAATATTATTCACCTTGAATAATGTGTTTAAGAATTATGGCCCACAACTACTGCATAAACGAAAAAAGTTCAGTTAGGTATTTATTGGAAGGTCTGACTGGATTCGCCATGCTAACGGCTGCATTTAAAGGGGTAAGTAATTTATAGATCTTTAGCAGGAATAATTGAGCAAAATATTTTAGATCAGTCTGCTTAATCGCACAGTACATATGTAAATACATAACAAACACCCTCCCTCGCAACTCCAATATATCTAGCGATTAGATCCTGCCATAAATGTGTTATCGAAATAGGCAAATAGGGAAGACACATTTTAGTAAGTTTTGGCTATTTTTCTTTCTTTAAAAAATGTTTATTTTTTTATGACAATTTAGCCTACTATCCAAACTAAACCTGTATATCGGAATTTCAAACGTTGCATAACATTTATAAAAATTCGACACATTTTAACAAATGTTCATCAAAGTAGGGATGTCGGAAAAACATCGAAAATATCGATGTTTTGCTTCGATACATCGTAAGTTTTCCACTCGATGTGTAAATAGTCGCACATCTCTAGTACATTGTACCGTCGTTCCAGTTTTTCAATTGTACAAAAAAAACCGAAGTGACTTTGACCAAACAATTGAAACGGCTCCAAAAAGTTCCGTTAGAAACATAATTAGCTCAGTTGCAGTAATTTATTTAAAATTTTGTAAAATTTTCTGACAAAATATTTTGATTATTCAGAAAAATCCTATGCAAATCGATGCATCGAAAAATATCGATGTACATTTCGATGCTTCGAATAAAAGAAAAACATCGATGCATTTTTGCCACTGACATCCCTATATGAAAGTTTGAAGCTGTTTAATCAGATTTTATAGAACTTTTTTGAGTATGTATTTTTTTTTTAATTTTAGTATAATAAAGGACTTATCATTGATTTTTGGCAATTTTGTGTTCACGCATTTTCTTCCATACAAAATATGTTCGAAATTCTTTTTGTATGCAGAAAATCAGCAACACCTTGCACAAAAATGTTGCCAAAAATCACTTTATAATAAAATTGAATGGGCTACAAAGCTCATACTTAGAATGTTTCTAGAAAATTTAATTAAAAAGCTGTCGAATTTTGCTAATTTTTGTAAAAAGTTTGAAATTTTGACTTACACACATGTTTTTTGTTAGATAACGAGCTTTACTTTATTTATTTACTACTATGAGTACAAAGACATAGATATAGTGCAGCGAATTAAAATACAGCGGCTCTGCTGGCTTGGTCATGTCGTTCGAATGGCCTCCGACACTCCAGCTCTTAAAGTATTCAACTCGGAACTCGCCGGTGGTAGCAGAGGAAGAGGGAGGCCGCCACTGCGATGGAAAGACCACGTGGAGAAGGACTTGGCTTCACTTGGCATTTCCATTTCCCATTGGCATCAGTTGGTCAGATTAACGGAAGACTGGTGTACTTCAAAGGTATTGTCAATAAACCCGCTGAAGTCCACCGTTGTCCCATTTACCAAAAGAAGGAAAGTCAATTTGACTAAACCCACCTTGGCAGGGATAGAAATTGAGTTCATAGAAGAGGCCAAGTATCTAGAGGAAACTCGGGACAAAAGGCTCAATTGGAACTCACATCTTCTTAATGTTACCAATAAGGCTACAAGGGCGTTTTATGTCTGCCAGACTCCATGGTAAAACTTTGGTAATATCACCCAAACTTACGTATTGGTCTTTCAGAACGGTCGTGAAACCAGTTGTCACATATGCGGCATTGGCCTGGTGGCCAAAAGCAAAGCAAGCAAGTGCATGTGCCACACCTTGAGCAAGCTACACCGCTTGATCTGTGTAGCCA